GCCGAGCCGAGCGGCGGCGCAGCTGGCACGACTCCGCGCCCGCCTGCGCCTCGCCTTCCTCTGCTCGCTCCCGGCCGCCCCGGGGAGTCTCCACCCTGCCGCCCGCGTTCTCGCCCCTCGGGCCCGTCCCGGGACCCGGGGCCCCTCCGTGGCGAGGGCGGTCGGGGCCCGCTAGGCTAGCACGAGCGGGCTGCGGGCGACGGCGCTCTCGGCTGTCGTGAGGGGCTGCCGGGTGGGATGCGACTCTGGGCGTCCGGGCGACTGTGGGTCGCTGCCGCCCCCAGGCCGGGGTCCGGAGCGCGGAGGTCCCTTTTGTGACGGGCAAGAGGAGGGGACCGGGCACACCTGGTGACCCTGAGGTTCCGGCTCCTCCGCCCCGAGGCTGCAAACCCACCGCTGAGGAAGTTGGTTGAAATTGCTTTCCGCTGCTGGTACGACGGCATTGTCATAGGAGCAGCAACATGTCGACTGGGGACAGTTTTGAGACTCGGTTTGAAAAAATCGACAACCTGCTGCGGGATCCCAAATCGGAAGTGAATTCGGATTGCTTGCTGGTGAGTGGCACCGGTTCCCTTTTGCCCGGCTGGGTTCCGCATGTTTACCTTCCTCTTGTTTTCAATCTAGTGAAGAGAAAAGTCTCAGGTGCGCACGGTCGTTATGGAAGACGCCAGGTTCATTGTCCGGAAGGATTTTGGAGTACCACGAAAATCGCGTGGGGTGGCTCTCTTTACCATTTGACTGGCCCGGTACTAACCACTCTGAACTTTTAGTTCTGACTCAGTTCATTCTGTACTTAGAAACTTGCTATTGGAGGCGTCGTGTGAAAAGTTATCACGTCAGAGTTGCTACCACATATGTAGTTTGTTGAATGGCGATCTTAGTACGTAATACTAATCTCGATTGCTTTGACAATAATCTTGGAAAGGGTGCTTTCCATTTACAGAGTTTTAGCTCCTAAGAGTTTAGGATTTTTTTGACTTGGAAGTAACGATGGAGAATCGATACAGAAGTGATTTTTTTTTTTTTTTTTGCTAAAATGTCCTAGGTGTCTTGAGTCTAATGAACTTTTTGCTGAAGTATTAAGTGCAGAAATCAAGATAACTGAGCATAGGTCATCACAGTGTTAACCTTTTTTTTGGAATATTGTTGTTTCAAAAGCACCACACAGATGTTATAGATACCCCTTCTTGGTGACGCTGTGCTTGAACATAGTTACTTTTAAAACATTCTGAAGTTCTTAGGAGGTGACAAGCCAAAGTATTATCGTAAAAATCATTACTTGGTTAGTAACATATACAATATCTGTAAATAATGAGAATTTGATGCCTCTTGTAGCTTTTAACTATACGGAAGTTTCTTGTACTGACAACTAAAAGGTATATAATATTTTCATCCGGTCAAGACCACATAATCTCTACTGTAACGTTTCAGAAAGCATATATATGCATAGGATTTTATAGTGGCCTCAGAATTAATGTTAAGTATGCAGTTTGGGGGGATTAAGATTAAAAGCATAGAATAATGACATTAGGAGAAATGCCATTAAAAGCCTCATTTTGAGTAAAATTTTGTAGATTATTTATAATTACCATGCATTCAGTTACTCAATGCATTTCTGTGGTTTTAGTGTGTAAGATTTCTTCCCACTGCTTTCAAAATTAAAGCATCCTTATCTATGAAATAGGAATATTGTGGGTAGCATGTTTGAAATGTCTCACCCACATTATGGGATGCTTTTCATGTTGAAAAATAGTAAACAAGGTTGATGCTTATTTTAAAACATTTTGTCTTGTGAAAGATATGGAATTAGGACACACCTTTAATGTGTTCTACATTTTATTTCATCTTCTAATATTTTTCCATTTGCATGTATTTTAAGACTTTTTTTTTTCAACATCTGTATCTGGAGTTCATCAACTGTGCTGTGTTGTCTTATACTGTCATTTTTTTTTTTTTTTTTGAAGTACTGAGAATTGAACTCAGGGTCCAGTACATGCTAGTCCAGACAATCTGCCACTGGACTACACCCTTAGCTTCTGCTTTACTTTGTTGATGCTATTATTTCATAATGTGTTATTATAAATTTAGTAGCTTTTTTGTTTATTTCATTTGTTGTAACCTCTTGCTATAGATTTCTTTGGTGCGATTCTCACAGACATTGAGATGTGGAAAATACAAAGAAATGTAAGTCATGATTCAGAGTCCATTCTACAGTATTTATGAAAACAACAGTTAACCTCATGTATATACACAGAAACAAAGAAAAGCATTTCATAGGTTGAGAAAATGTGTTTTCCAAATGACTGTTTAAAGCAAATGTGATTGTGTGTGTGTGTGTGTGCGCGCGCGCGCGCGCCTGCATGTGTGTGGCATAGAAATTGAAGCGAAGAAATCACTGAGTTGAGAGAGAGTGCCAAAGTATGCTTTTCTGATGGATAGATGGATAAGATAGAAGGTTCTCAGGGAGAGTGGAAGGTAACAGAGGATAGAGACGTGACTGTCTAGTCTAAAAGGAGACAATACAGTTGGAAGGATTGGGTTAGACTGAAGGATTTGAGGGCTGAGCAAGGAGTTTAACACTATGACAGGATGAAAGAAGATAAGTCTGATAGTTTTGTGCACAATGGGTTAGGGTTGAGAAAGGGTGAGGTTGGAGAATTTTTAAGTAATAATAGTTCAGAAGTGATTGAAGCCCAAAATTGGCATATGAAAATGAGGAAGGAAGAATTGAGAATGAGAAGGAGAAATCAGACAGTCAATAGATGACTGAAAATGTTAAGCCTGGATTATAGGGAGATTGTGACAACAGTAACGTCAGGCTTGGAAATTGCTTGGGAAGAATAGATGTAGATAAGTTCAATCTTAAATTTGTTGTGTTTGAGGGGAACAGTGGAACAATCATGAGGCGATAACCTGTAGACTATTGAAGATAGAGAACTGAGCTCATAATTAAAGATAATGATTTGAAAATGCTTTGCAAAAAGGTTCAAATTGAAACGATGTAATACTAGACATACCTTAGAGAGAACTAAAGGTGAGAGAGAGGTAATGGTTGAACAGAAGAAGAGCCAAAGAACCAAAGCAGTGAAGGTTTTCAGAGTTGGGATAGTCAGGTAGTATGGGGCCCTCTAAAAGAATATTTTGAAAAAGGCATTAGCCAACTAAAAGACTTATTTTTCACCCTTGTAATCTTATAATCTTGGCCCCTTTTTTTCTGCTTCCTTTTATAACTTTTGAAAGCTGTTATTGAAATCTTATAATATTACTACTTTTGAACTTAGTAGAGATCAGATTTTTCTTTGGAGACAAAAATCCTTTCTCCAGTCGTGTAGGATCTATCCTGAATTTCCTTTGCATAATAGTGAATGTTTAGCTTTGAGCAATCATTTATTTTGCCATGCAGAATAAAGTGTCAGGTCATTTCATTTTTTTCAGGAAGTTTGTTCTTGCTCTTCTCTGTACTTTAGTTGATCTCTCTTGTATTAGCTGCTTTTCTGTCTTATTTTTGACTATTTAATGATTTTTATTAAATATATACTATGTGTCACGTGCAGTACTCTACAATTTTTTTTTTTTTTTATAATGTCAAAAAACAAGATTATTCTTTGCTTTTGTTATGGCTTGTGTTTAGAAGTTCCCCCAAAGCTTCATTCAGTCATAGCTGGGGCTTTTTCAGAAGTAGCTGACAGGGGACAGGGGCTGGTGAGATGGCTCAGTGGTCTAAAGCACCTACTTGGAACAAGCTTAGCAAAGCACAGGGACCGCGGTTCAATCCCCCAGCACCACATGCCAGCCAGCCCCGCCCCCTGGTGGGCTGAGCTGGCCACACACACACACACACACAAAAACACAAATAAAAAAAATTAAAAAAAAAAAAAGAAGTAGCTGACACTAGAGTGTGTGATTGATTCATATTGCAATGCTAGGATTAAGGGTGGGTGTTTACCAAATCAGTCCACTGATTGGTTTGGCACTGCTCTAATCCTGATAGCCTGGATATAATATGAGGGACAGAAAGAGGCTTGTCTTGTCGCTTGTTGCCTCGCCACCTTATGTCTGCCATGAACTATTGCCCCTCTGCCGTGCCACCCCTGCCTTGGAGCCAGCCAATTATGGACTTAAACGTCCACAAACTGTAGGCTAGATACACCTTTCCTCCCTTAACTTGTGGGTGGTAGGTATTTTGACTAAGCAACCAGAAAAGTAACTAACACAATTTCTTTTACTAGATTGCTCTTCAGCAGTGGAAGTTTCCCAACCTTTTGTAAAGTTTTAGAACAGTTTCTGGCGCATGTATTTTTAAAACTAAATTTATCCCCAAGGCAACTCTTTTTGTTGGGGCAGTAATGATGAATATTAGCAGTTATAAGATAATATAGCTAGAAGAATTCTTGCAAAGTTTTCCTGAAGATCTTCACTTTTCCTTTAGTTTTCTTACATTGTAACTAAAAGGTGGTGTAACAATGGGTGGGTGGAAAAGAACCAGTAATACTGAGTTCTAACACTGTGGTCCCTTTGTACATATTTGTTAATAGTATTTGTCAGTTTTTGAGAATATGGATGGCAGATATAAATGTAAGTTGTTAGTCTTTGTTTCTTTAAATTCTCTTTCTAGGCTTTCTTGACCTGTTGTTTTCCAACTTGTCTTTGTTCTTAATTTTATTTCAGTTTTTGACCTGTAATACTTAATATTTTTTTCATTATTTTGAAGCATTCATCCATTGTTACACTTTTAGGTACCTCTCATCTTTACATCTATGATACCCAAACCTTTATTTTTACTCTTACCTGGTTGAAAATCCTAAATATCTATCCTCTATGAACAGTATGTCTCCTTGGATGTGTTCTTTCAAATTCCACTTATTCAAAAAAAAGCTTTCCCCTGTAAATTAGTTGTTTTGTCATTAACAGTATTACTTTTTTTTTTTTTTTTTAAGCTTTTTAATTTTTTGGTGCTGAGGACCAAACCTGGGCTTTCCTGCTTGCTAGACAAGTGTTCCACCACTGACTTAAATCCCCCAATAATAGTATTGCTGTCCCTGTCACTATACTGAAATTTTTGTTGTGAAGTTGCCCTTTTTTTTAAGGTTACTTTTAAGTATTTTTCTCTTAGAATGAGTTTGAAGTTGCTCTTTTCTTTTTTCCTTTCCTTTTCTCTTGTCCTTCCCTTCCCCTCCCTCCCTCCCTCCCTCCCTCCTTCTCTTTCTCTCTGTCTCTCTCTCTGTCTCTCGCTCACAGTCTGTCTTTCTTTTTTCTTTTTTGAGAAAGAGTCTTGCTCTGTAGTTCAGGCTGCTCCTGAATTCACTAGGTAGCCCAAACTGGCCTTCAACTCTAAGCAGTCTTTCTGCCTCAGCCTCTCCAGTGCTGGAATTACAGGTATGTGCCACCATACCCAGCCTGTCGTGAAGTTTCTTGACAGGTCTGCTCTACAATATCAGGTTAATACAACAGAAGTTGGGTAGCATTTGAGAATTAGATTATTGCTGTATAATCCCTCTGTATGCTTAGTCTGCTGAGTTGATCACATTTGTGATTCTGTTATTGTTGGGGGAAT